AATCTCTAAAAGAAGGCAAAATCTAAACTCTTGCATGCTCTATCTTGAACAACATAGGCAACTGGGCAAGCAACTATTCTGCAGCAATGTTGAACTAATGCAATCATGGCTTTGGTATTGGCGGTGAATGGAGCAACATGAGATCTAGGTGTTACTTCTAAGATTATGATGACATTGGGGATAGAGGAGATTGTGCCTTGGAGGTAATTTCGTTGGAAATGTACCTCAAATTCAAAGAAGCATAAACAATGGTCCGCTTGGAGATAGTGATCTGATTGCTTGGGGGTGATGAAGTCGCTATTTTAAGGGGCAGTAGTTGTAGTTGAGGTAAGTCAGGGGGTGGAAGATGAAGAGATCCAATTGATACCACTGCTAGTAGTGGTGGAGGATTTGGAGGTGCTTCGATGACCCTGATGGAGGCAATGGTAGAGAATGGATGGTTATGGTTCTGTAAGAGTATAGCCATGCATAACACCATCATTAGGCATCAGTAGATGTGTGAAATAGGCATTCCAGTCGTTGCAGCTAAGTGAAATTGCGGTTTTTGTATCTCCATTTCACAGTTTAAGTGTGGAATAGGGTTGCTAATAATTGTAGGTGACCAAGTGCATTTGGAAATGTGTGGAGCTGGGAATGGCATGTGACTTTGTTACACATTCCCACTGTGAAGAAACTTGATGTATTGTATTGCTATAGTCCCTACTGTTACATAGCCTTGTTCTTTTTTATATCTTTGTTTTTGCTTTTCAGCCCCTCTAAGGGCTCTTTTGTATTTTCCTTTTTTATCTTTTAGTCCTCCAAGGACTCCTCTGTAATTATTAATATTATTTAATATGTATGGCAAGTGTTTAGACACCCCTAAAACTCTTTCTCTTCTCTTCCAACTGGTTTGTGACATGGTTTCAGAGCAGGTCCATCTGACCTGGGTTTGATCCTTGGCATTCAAAGGGAGATTTAAGGATTTCAGATTGACTACTGTGTACTTCTCTGTGAGGCTTTTTGAAACTGTATTGATCAGTGCGAAGCTTCACCTTTTTTCTCTGAAAATCACAGGTCTGAACTGTATTTTCTCTCTTTCTCTCATTTGGACCGTTGGATCTGGCTAGAAATCTGGATTTTATGTCGTCCTATCCTTCTCTTTTAGACTATCAGATCTGATTTAGAATTCAGTCGAGTTTTGTAGGGTTTTGATCCTCTCTTCCTGTTGACAGTGCTGTAAGTTGCCTTTTTTGGACTGTTATGTATTGTTTCTTGATTGCTCTGAGATTTCTGCAGTGTAAGATCTTTTCTTTGGTGAAAGGGTTACTTCAATAGTCGATTTAGACTTTATCTGATTCTAGTTGGGTGTTTTTAATCAGTTTTTTCCCTTTAGCCTTGATTTCAGTACTGTGATTTTTTTGGGGCTGTGGTTGTAATCTGTAATGGCTGAGAAGGCTAATATTATTCCTGTAAAGTTTGACGGAACTAACTACAACATGTGGAAGTTCCATTTCGATTTCTTTATTGAGGGAAAAGGCCTGAAGGGATATTTGAATGGAAAGGTCACTAGTGGAAGCTGATAGTGGGAAAATTCTCTTGGATACTCAGTTTGATAGTCTCACATTGCAGTACCCATGAGGAGAATGCGTACTACCTATGAGATGTATTCATATTTGGAGAATGTATATTATCAATCCAATAAGTCAAGGCAATATCAGATTGAGGCTGAAATTTTTGCATATTGTCAGGGAGATAGGAAGATTCAACAATATTATGCTGGTTTTCTTAATTTGTAGGCTGAATATGAACTCGTCCACATAGAACCCACAGACTCAATAGAAAATGTTATGTATCTCCAAAAACATTTTGAGAAGAGGAAGGTGAACCATTTTCTTATGAGATTGAGACCTGAATATGAAATAATCAAGGCTAACATATTGAGTAGAGGAACTCTTCCAGATTTAGATTTAGTGATCGGTGAACTGTTGAGGGAAGAGATTTGGCTTCTAACTTCTGCAAGTATTGATGGGAAATCAGTGAACTCTAGAGTTGACAATGCTTTTGTTGTTCATGGGAGCAAGAAATTGAGCCTTTTGCAATTGTGGCACTATTGTCTTGGTCATATGTCCTTTAAATCTGTAAAACTTTTGTTTCCAAATTTGTTCAGTTCATTATCCAACTTGAATCCTCAATGTGAAGTTTGTCAACTATCCAAATAATGCAGAACCACATATTTTGCGAGTAATAAAAGAAATGATGTTTCTTTACATTTGATTCATACTGATGTTTGGGGCCCATATACCATTCCTTACATGGGTGGATATAGATACTTCATTTTTTTCATTGATGGCTACACTCAATATACATGGCTCTACTTGATAAAACATTGTGATGAAGTTCCTATGATTGTTCTTAGGGGAAAAAAAGGTAAAGGGGAAAGTAATGGGTGATTAACCAAGAAAAAAGAAGTTCCTATGATCAAAATTTCATGAATATGGTGGAAACCCAGTTTGAGAAAAGAATTAAGATAATAAGATCTGACAATGCAAAGGTGTACTTTGAAAACCACCTTTGTGTGTTCTTGAAGGATGAATATGTTGTTCAAAACTATCGAGGTGCTGGTGATTTTAGTTGGGCATTATGTCTTGGATTGGGTTTTGGTGCTCCCTGAGTTTGAACAAATTAGCAGATCAGATTGGGGGGAGATCTTTTTGGACTGTGCTTGAATTTCAGTTTGTAATGATTAGTTGTTCTTTGTTGGTCTTTAGTTGCTTTGTATTGTTGTGGTGCCATCTTGTCACCTCATTTGTTGGTCTTTAGTTGTTTTGTATTGTTGTCAGGCATTCTCTCTCTCTCTCTCTTCTTGCTCTGATTTGTCTTCTCTTTTATTGCTATTTTATTCAATAATCTCAGCACCCTTTTTCTGTTGTAGTTTTCTACTTTAGAGAAATAGGATATGGTTTCTGATCTGATATCACCTGATCAATATCCGTAGAAGATTGACATTGCACTCTGCCACTTTTATTCACCTTCACAGTGTAAGAATGGATTTCATATGCTTGTCCCTTTCTACCAATCACACATTTTTGCCTTTCTTCTACTTGAGTCAAAAAATGATGCACATGTAAAACTTTGTCTTCACATCTTTGACTCAACACCATTTTGCAAAAGTGTTTTTGTTCCTGCTTCAATTTGTTCCAACTCAACAAAGGCTTATCCTAATTATATGAAATTGGCTAAATGAACCTTGTTCTGCCATTCCACTCTATTGAATGCTATGTCCTATTGTTAACTTGTGCATTGTTGAATCATTTCATGATTCTTGCTACTTCAATTCATGGCCTTTTTGGCCTGCCCCTAACTCTCTTGAGTCCTTCAACTTGCAAAAGATCATTTATTCCTACTGGCATCATAGTTGGTCATTCATGCACATAACCAAACCATGGTCTACTTTCCCTGATTGATGTTTCAATATTTATAAACAACATACCAAAATTCTCATGAAATGTCTATATGTGTTGAGATTTGAAAGGTGTTGGACATTATTATTTAACTTGCCAAGAAACCCATGATACGCCAATGTTCTGAATTTTCCAATTAAGGTGGTCATTAACTGGAATGAGTTGGCTCATTGAGCATGCACTAACATCCAATCTAACCAATCCCAAATACAATATTTTCTCACTTGGTTATTATTCCATGTGTATCTTGATATCTTCTGCCCTTGTATTCAGAATCCAGTAAACCAGCCCATCGTAATTGCTTCTTGGAAGGCTACCATAAAAAACCAGGATATCTACTATAAAATCAGTAGAATATTTTGTTATCTTCATTTGGCTTTAAATTCTCCTTGTCTTGCTTTAATTATATTGTTATTTACAACATTTTGATGATTCAATAATTAAACTTCATTTTTCTTATGGAAAAAATATATATTACCATGACTGTTGAGTTCAATGAATTATTACATAATGAAGATTTGGTTTGGTTTATGCTGGGCATCTAATTTTTGGTTAACCATGATCCTTGATTCTGAGGTTTAGACTTGTTCCAATGAGAGTTTATGGCATTTCCCGTGGAAGATGTTGGTGATCATAGTGCAAAACAATTCTCAGTACCAGATTCAAAGATTGCTCATTTGTGTGTTAATAAATCTCTATTTTACTGTCACTAAACTGACTAATTGAGGGGTTGGATAATTTACAATAAGAGTTGGCCAAATTCATAATATAAATACCCCTCCTATGTGGGGTTCACTACAGAATCCTGTCTCCATTCTTCCCTCTCTAAACCATTTCTTCTGTGGAGAAATAAGCACAGCCAGTAAAAAGCCGACTGAAAAAATAAAACAAAATGAATGGATCATAAATTTTTCGAAGACATTTTGAGCTTCATTGAGCTAGAGTATATAACACAGGATGTCATCTTTCTGTTTCCACTGTCTCTACTTATGGATGACAACTATAGTTTGCACTTTGCGCAGATACATAAGCATTGGTTTTTAGCTTGCAATCGACCTTGACTTATGGTGCCATGCTATAGTTTCTAATTGTCAGAGTCATACTGGTTGCTGTATTGGTGTATGAAATGGTTCTAAAGTCGAGGTTTCTTAGGTCATTTTTATAATCCAAGCAAATGATGTTTAGTCTGTTTCTTTTACTGACCTTCATGTCCTTCCTTGCCATGTATCCTAATGATATTGATGACATTGTTATGATAATGATGCTATGATTAGGTTTAAGCTGGATTTTTATGATCATCCAATTAGGCTTGGTTATCTCATGACATTTGCAGTTGATAATGCCTAGTTGAGATACTTGCCTTGTATTTTTGTCTGCTTTTGTCTACACCTAGTGGTGTCCAAACTCAAGATATTTACGTTGTATCATTGGGAATAATGAGCTATTTAGGTACTCAAAAGTGCATTTTATGAATTTTTTTGTATGTTGAGATTATACCTTTTTACTTGGTTTTATCTGAAACTCGGAATACTTTCTTATTTATCAACTAAAAATATCCAGGTGAGGACTATATCCAGAATATTGAGGCGTGCTCAGAAAGGATATTATTCATTGCTTGTTTCATGTACACAGAAATGGTATCTTGCAAGAAGTTTTGTACAAAGTAGGATGCCATACTAAAGTGTATGCCAATTTAATTGTGAACTTTTGTTTTCCCACCCTATTCTACGTCACTTGCAGGTGATGCTCTAGCCTTCTTTTATTCTAACAGGCCCTTGCATTATGAATAGTATAATGCTTCCCTCTTTAGTGCAGTATTAACTGGTAATTAGGTGATTATGATCTTGACCAAGTATGTTGTGCCATTCTGAACTATAAAAGTACATAAGCATGCTATGATCTTTCTGACTATCAATGGTGAAGTTTTTATTTAACTAAATCATATTTTGATGCATATTGACATTGTCGGTGCGAAAATTTTAATAAATTCTTATGCAACTTAATTCTCTCAATCAAGTGATTGAGTTTTTATTATTTTGGGTAAGGCCCATTCAGGGAATCATACGGATTTTTCCCCTTAATTACATCTCCATGAGAAAGTAGAGAACAACTTTTGATTCTGACTTAGAGAAATGAATAAATAGAACAAAAAAAAAAGAACAATAGAGTACTTCTTAAAAAAAAGAACTTTTCATTTGCATTTCTTTTACATACAAGTGTACAAGAGTGAGAAGAAAAAAGAAAATACAATTGAGAAATTCTATAACAATACATTTCTCTCTTTCTTTTCTTTTTGATACAAAGAAGATTTCCTTCTCATACATTCCTTCACAATAAGCTGTAGTCAATCAGATGAAATTCTGACTGTAGACAGCCTTAATCCTTTGGATTTTGTATACAAGAAGGGAACTGTAGTCAATCAAGCTGAATGTTTGATTGTAGACGGTTTTTATCCCTCTGTTCTTCATTTTCATTTGAAGGGAACCAGAACCAGTCCTCAGGAATTAGACTATAGATGATTTAATCCCTAACCTGTCTTGATAGAGGGACCATAATCATCCATGTAAAGGCACCTGGTCGTAGATGGTTTATTTCCTTCTATTTCCTTTCTTAAAAGTAAAAATAAAAAAGAGAGGAAGAAGGATACATAGCAGAAGACATATATAGGAAGTATTTACGGAGAGGACTTTCCTTTTCTTACCTATATTAGTGAGATTTCTTTTCCTTCCCTGTCTTCCCTTGATAACTTCTCCTTTCTTTTATCTTTCTTGGCTTTTCTTAATAATCTCTTGAGACACAATTTTCTCTGAAGAGGCCCCTCTAGCTTCCCCTTAAGGACCTTAAATAGGGAGTGGGGTAGTTATGCAACTACCCTCTCCCCTTAGGTGAAGGACACCTGTCCCTCCCACGTAAAGAGAGGGAACTCCCATATGGGACACCTGTTTTCTTAGTTTTGATGATTAGCTAGAAGACTAGCCAACCCACTTATTTGGGTTATAAATGATTTAAATACTATTTGGATTAAAAAAATTCCTTGAACAGATAGAAAGAAAAAAAGAAAGAAGAAAGAAAATGGTGATAAGATGAAGATCCTTAAACCTTTCCCAAGGTTGCTAACAATTTATAAAACTTCCCCTCACCTTTCTAATTAAAATGATACCAATCTTATTGATTGACATGGCATGGCAATAACCACCTCATTTTTTTTTGGCTTCATGGGGCTACACAATGGGGGTAGCGGATTTGATCCCAGGTCTCTCCTACGAGTCAGAGGTCCTGCCAACTGAGCCACCATCAGTTGGTAGAGAAAGAAAACCATTTACTCTATTGTTACTTTGTTGATAACCAAGTTTTAAAATCATTGTTATAAGATTTGGACTGTTCATCGAACTGGAAAGGTCATCGAGTCACAGGTCATATGGTCCATCCAACCACTGGGCTAATCCAGTGACCCGTTATGTCACATATATAAATACATTATATATTATATATATACTCTAACAGATGCTTTGTCTACGGTTTAATTGCTATTTTTCTGATCTTCATGTAAGTGATTTAGGTTAAAGTCTTATAAATCATGTTTTTGTTAAAAAATACATATATAGTCAACATAGACATCAAAGAAACAAAATAAATACAAATGACGCTGTAGCTTAATCATCATCATCATCTAAGTTTTTCCAAACTAAATGGGGTTGGTCATTCCATTCAGCTTAGTGCCATGTCCATCGTTGTAGCTTAATGGTAACACGAAATACACACACACGCACACACAATTCCTCCTCGTTGCCATTTTATAATATGATAAAGCTATGTCCTGGGTGGGTTGTTAGAAAATTGGCTGAATGGTTTTCCTGGGTTAATAGTGGATCAGATGATTTTTGGAAGAAACTGAAAACTGGAGTTTTAAAAAACCAGACTGCCCTCTAGTTCTTGAGTTTGATGGTTTGACCATCCAATTTGTTTCGAGTCTTACAACATTGTTTAATATATTAACAAGATACACCCTATATAGGGTGCGTATCTAGTTTGATAGAGACTGGTACTAACACAGGTGTAATGGGGTTGGTGACCATTCATTCTTGANGATAGAGACTGGTACTAACACAGGTGTAATGGGGTTGGTGACCATTCATTCTTGACGTGCTAGTTGTATCATTCTTATTGTGTCATATCCAACCTTTGGTTAACATAGATTAATAGAGGTCGATACAGACCAATATGGGCCACATTTTGGAGGAACGATTTATGTTCATTGGTTTTACTTTTCTAATACATTATCTCATTTCCAATCTTTTCAACTTCATCCTGGATGCTTGTGGGAGAGTTCCTGTCTACATTTGATATCTTGCATTAAAAAGAAAGAAAAATTGATTGGTATCAAGAAGAAAAAGAAGAGTGCATTTTTTCTTTTAATTCTTCAATATTTAGTAGATTCATATATTTTGGTGTTTGAAATGCAATGATACATTGATTTGCTGTTGGATCAATATTTTTGCTTGTATTAGTATATCCATAGATTTTTCCTTGAAATTTTGGAAAGTCCAGAAGTCATAAAAAGTAATATGTTTTAAATGTTTTGATTGTGGGAAAGAACTATAAGATGGAATGAATGGTCTATAAAATCCATTGATCTTTCAACAATTTATGTCAAAGATTTTCTAGTTTGTTGGTAACTTATAGAAACAAAATAATAAAGACAATTTATTAAGTTTATTATTTCTATAAATTATTAATTAATAATTTATTTACAATAAGTGACGGCATATTTATTATTTATAAAACAAAAAATACATTGTTTGCAAATTTAACTTAATGCATATTAATAATTTTTAAGAAGTTATATATCCATTAGCTAGCATATTAAGAATTTAGGATTAAGATGACATTTTTTTGGCATTACACAAGTAAAAATGATAAAATATAGAACAATTGATTTAGTGATTAAAATATGATTGACAACTAATGAGTGCTGTCAAAAGCTACACAGATTGTTTTTGACTCTGCTTGATGCATAGTCATAGTTGTCTAAGACCCTCGCCTTGCCCAAGTGCTGAAATATTTATATGCATTACACCACATGATGTTTTTATATCTTTATTTTAAGTTATTAATAGTAGTACAATGGATATTATTAGACTAAATTATTCATATTGTGGCTTATAGTACTAATACTATTATTCTTATACTAGATGATTTTTATTATTTTATTTTATTTTATGTTTATTTCTTTTGAAGGGCTACACAACAGGGGTAGCCCATCCCCAACCCAGGTGCAGGCGGGATTTGATCCCAAGTCAACGCTATGACTTGTTGCTTTGTTTTAATTGATAAAACAAATAAATATAAAAAATTTAAGGGTATAGTGATCAATCCAATTTTGGTTTCAGCCAAGTGACCCACGACCGCTGTTATCAACCAGTCCCATAGTCTTGAACACATAAAGACTTTAAAACCTGAATTGATAAGTAAGAAGTAACTTGATAGTTTTACACAAGAACGATCAATTGGACTTATTCTTCATCATCTTCTTCCTAGGACCAAAACAAGGGTTCAGCCCATATGTTTTGTATTTTTTCTTTTCTTATTTTTCTTCTCATAAAGATGTTTATTTTCTATATTTTGATATGGGATTTATACATATTTCATGAGGATTATGATAAGTATTAATTTAAAGATTATTGCTTATTACCATGAAACCTAGGGAACTACCATTGGATTTATTTATTAATTTATTTTTATAATACTCATCACCTAAGCGACTGTTAGGTGATGCCTAGGCGACAAGGCACTCCCCTATTGCCTAGTTTCACCTTGGCACCTTGAAAGCTATGCGCATAATTAATAAAGTTATTCTATGATATCTTCCTTCGTATAAAGAATTAAAGTATGTGGTCCTAGTATGTTTATACGTTTTAGTTATTTTAACCTTAAGATTTAGTGTTATTAATTTATCTATGGGATTTATGAGGGTTTTGTTTTTTTAATGTTTTAATGTGTATCCACATCTTTCCACTAGATTCATGTGTAACCAAAGTGTTATCAACTTATCATAAATTCATAATACATATCTTACGAACACCCTTTTTACTGATTAAATTGACACTCATTTGCTACAAAGCTGTAAAAACACATGTTACAAAATTGAAATGCTTACTCAAATTAGGGCTGCAAATCAATTGGACCTTGATCCAATTATCCTGAATTTGGATATTTGTCAGGGATGATCATTTCCAAGCCAGAGGGTCTGGCTTGGGCCCAATACCATGGTCTGGCCCAGATGAGATTTGAACCCTAGACAATTGGGGCTAAAATCAACAAATTAACCATTCCACCAGTGCATTAAGACGTGTTATATTTCACAAAAAACATTACATATATAAATGAGACTTGTGGTCAAACCATTTGACTCACGACTTGGCATGCATTCTGGTTGTGTCCTGTTTGAGTCTTAAAACACTGCTTTTTATCCTATTAGTGTCTGTTTGGCATCAATGCCGTTGCTCTAGAAAACGGGAATACATCAGTACATCGGAAAAAACGGTGTTCCAGGAAATGCCTGTTTGTTTGGAACTGTTTTTCCATAAAAAATAGTGCTCCAAGCCACACCTTAGAAATCGGGAAGGTGTGGCTTGGAGCAACGGTGAATTTGGCGTTTCTTGGAGCTGTAGCTTGTTGCTGCCAACAGGGACATGAGGTGGCAGTGACAGGGACATGATGTGGCATTGGATAATTGGTACCAGTGCTTAAAACGTTTCTTGGAACATTGGTACCAAACAGAAAACGTTGCTGTTGCTACAGGAAACGTCCTACCTGGCAGCAATGTTTCCAAACAAAATAAAAAGACACCATTTTTTCAGAAAGCGGTGCTTCCAACCCATACATCATTAGCATCGATGCCAAACATATACTTAA